TTTAATAAAAACTTGCTTTACTTATACAGAAATTTAAGGAGCAGGTTATTTGGATAAGACTGTGGAAAACAAAATCAAATTCTCCCTAATCTCATACTGATTTTCTTCTCTTGTTTCTTAGGATTGAATTCCATAGAGCTTTTTACGTCAAAGAATATTTTGCTGTATACTTAAAACCAAATTAAGTACTTGTTAAGGTAGCTTTCAGGGATAGAGTCCTTCACCAGAGATTAACAGATATGTCTGCAAAGCAACTGCAAGAAGCAAGAATTTTGCCTGTTCATGCCTCGGTCATATGCCTCCAGTTGGGTTTTTTAATGTACTCGCTTGACTACAGTGCAGAATATAGGATGTTGAAAAGAAGCCACAGTATTTTCTCATGTTACAGAGAAGCATAGAATGAGTTCTAAGGTTGTCATTTTGCTTTTGGTTATATTGAAGAAATAAGGTTTTCATGTAAATATCTGAATGAAATCAGGAAAATCATCATCTAATGATATACTTGGTTATATGAAGCAAAACTAGTGGTAAATAGACATGAATTAATTCACATAAGAAGCTGGAAATATTAATTATGTGTGGCTTTTTGGAAAATCAAACAACAAAGCTGCTGAAGTATGTTAACTGGAATTGGTAAAGAAACTAGAAAGGGGTTTTTCATTTTTTTTCTAAATCCCTCCCAGTGTTTTCTGTTTGTTTGTTTGCAACTGAAATATGTTAGCAAATACCTGAGTGACTCTAAAATAAAGGTCATTTCTTTGGAGGAGATGACAGAGGACCAGAGCAATCCTCAGGGTGCCTCATGCCTGTGCCTTCAAGTAAGTAATTTCAGCACATCCTGGCAACTTGGCCAATAAGGAGAATATTTTTGGTTCAGTGATGGGCTGATGTGCAAACTCGTGGGAATGCCACAACTGTTTGCAATTAAAAGTACTCAGAGCTTGAAAGTCCACTTTCAAATGATAGCTCCATCATAGCAATCATAGTGGCTTGCTAGCTACTGGTAGTTTACCAGTGAACAAGGTACAAGAATTAAAGAATGGGCTTACTTAAAGCATAGATTCATAATAAGGAAAAATCAGGAAATATTCAAATTGTCTAGAACTGCAGTTAACAAGGATCATCTTTACGTGTTCCAGCTTGTCTAGCATGTCTAATAAGCCTATGTAAGCTCTTCCTGACTTTTATGTCAGAAAGAATTCCTAAAGGAACTCCTACTTTTTTAAATAGCAGATGGAGTAATGCAGAAGAGTTGCTCTGAAAAACCTATACCTTTTATAATTCATGGCTGACTGATACAGTCTTATTCGTCTGCCCTTCAGAAGACTTCGTTTTGGTTTGGATTGTCAGCTGGACATCTTACAGTATTGTGTAATTCTCTTCTCTGTGTCCCAGCTTTCCCTGGGGTTCTTTGGTTAACTTTTCTGCTTCTTTGAATATATTGCATTCTTGGTTTTAAGCTACGGGCTGCTTTCTTTGTGTATAGTTTCCTTAAAGCCAAATATTGTAACTTCATAAATAATATATGTTTGTATGCTGTGTATGTATGAAATACCAATGGCATAAGCTTTCTTGAAGATTCTTGCTAGCTTGTTCTGAATTTTGTATAGACATTGCAAATTGTGCAACTGTTCTTTCTCTGTTTCTTTAGCAGAAAGTTTATTAGAGGGATCAGGAAGTGCATCACCCCTAGGTCGAATTCTGAATAATGATAAGGCTGAGTCATTCATTAATGGTACCTGAAAGTCTGCCTGGGTTCGGCAGAACTCATGTGACTGGGTTTGATCTGGGTGTCATTAGTAATGTCCATCTATCTCACAATTCAGGTATTACTTGTTATTTTGTTCTTACGTAGTAAGGGGGATATTATAAAGGTACTGTACAGTAATGGACTACTTACTACTTTGCTATTAGGACTTTGAGGATCATGTTGTTTCATTCCAGTATCATAAGAGGATGATATATTGAATGAAATATTCTGATTTGTGTAAAATTTTGGTAATCTCCTTTTTACACTTTGAAATGATGGGCGAGGATGATAGAAAGGGTTCTTGTTTGTAGGAAAAACTGTGGGGAAGAATTGGAGAAAGGAGTTTTCCCATGTGAAAACATTCCATTCAGTGCAGAAAATGTTGCATAACCTTAATTTCTTTCCTTTCTTCTCACCCCATCT